GGGGCGGCCCAAGGGGGTGGGAGAGGGTCCGGCCCACGCTGCGCCTGGGCTGGGACTGGTCCCGCCGGCCTGTTGCATTTTGTATTAGATCTAGTAGTATGTTTCTCAGTGAATGATCAAACAAACAAAGGTAACCAATAATCTAATCTTTTCTTTGCTTTTTCTAATCACATCTCTTCTTACTCTCAGTTTCTTAGAACAGGACAGGTGATTTGGCATTTCATCCCTTTAAAAAAGAGACCTAGAGGATATCAATACCATTTTAATTGTATACTTTGCCTATGAAATACACTGAAGTTTTTAAATATTAAGAAAATTAGACTGGTTAATTGGAGATTTTAAGCTGCAAGAAGAAAACTTGAAAATAAATTAAGCAGATTTACCTGGCAGGCATCTACACGCCCCTCCGGGAAGCCAGCGCACAGCATTCCCGGAGTGACTGTCCCATCGTAGGCCTCTTTGCTATTGCAGGTCCTGTTATCTATGATTTTCACTAATCCTTTTTGGAGTACATTAGGGCTTGTGCCTGAAGAAAAGAATGTGAAATGACTTTTGCTATAGTAAGTATTGATTGCTCTAGCTAAGTTGTTATCATCTAACATGTACAACTTGCAAAAATCAATGTAAAATCTTAATTCAACATTTTTCTCCTTTCTTAGCAACAGAAAAGCAACTAGTGCTTATAAATACGCCAAACTCTTGCTAAAAATTATCCAGTTTAGAGATTTTCAGTGTCTTCTTCCACATGTGATGGTATTCTTTCCTATCAAATTGTTTGAGCATTTTATATTTACTACATGTGTGCTTTAGAAAGCAAAATTAAAAATTCATAATCAGAAGTATACATTTCATGGCCATTTTTAGATTTTTCAGCTAAATATAATTATGATTCTGGTTTTGGAGATTAAGTTTATTTTCTGCTTTCAAAATGTATTTATGAACATTAATAGCCACAAGATCATTACATTGTTAGAGTCATATGATGTGCATATATAAATGATCTTTGTTATTCATTTCATTTCCTTTTATTAAAAATGATCAATATGTGAAGTGAAATGAAAGCTTTTTGCTAGCTAAGGAAATAGGAATATTTGCCTATTTTAAATATTTCTTTAATGTATTCTGAGGGCTGGCAGTATAACTCGGCAGACTAAGTGCTTGCTTAGGTAAGCCCAGGGACCAGGCTTCAATCCCTGTCTCTGCATGCTGCTGACCCCACCCCCAGCAATGGAGTCTGGGCGTGGTGGTACGTGCATGTAATCTCAGCACTAGGGAGGCAGAACTCCGGAGGATCACTGCAAGACTGGGCTGTACCCTGGGGTGGAAAAAAAAAAGAAAAAAAAAGTATTCTGGTCCAGGCCAAATATCTCAGTGGATTAAAACGCCTGCTAGGTAGATGCAGGGGCTGGGAGTTTGATTCCCCGGCCTGCCATACCAGTCCTGCCAGATTGAGACTGGTGGTGGCATGCGCCTGTAATGCCAGCACTTGGGAGACTGAAAACAGGAGAATCACTACGGGTCCAATCTTCGCAGTGAGACCTGTACATCTTGTACATCCTGTCCTAAATACAAAATAAATAAATAAATATGAAGTATTCTGGTCCACTAGAAAATTACAATGAACAAAAGTAGTAATCAAAATAAGTGTTGACTGACTGAATTAGTGAGGTGAAGGAAAATAGATTATGTATTCAAATAATAAATACTGTAAAACTGCTATTTTAAGAGGAGTTATGATAAATGGCTATCAAATTAAAGTTTCCACATGAATGACATAGAGAATAATTTTCAATCCATTACACATTATCTTCTTTAAAATGATCCTGAGGAAGTGTTTTTCAGATTCAGTTGTAATTTTGAATTTCTTTTTTCTTTTTGCAATTTAGGGAAGGGCCTACAGGGTGTTCAGGGTCTTACTACAAGATCGGACTCCTAGTGATCCGCCTGTTTACAGCCTCCCAAATGCTGGGATTACAGGCGCTGGCCACCATGCCCAGTCTCAATTGCCATCTCAGCACACCCCAGGGGCGGGGCCAGCACGGCAGGCAGGCCTGGGGATTGAACCCCAGGTCCCTGTGCCTACTTGCAAGCACTTTAATCCGCTGAGCTATTTGGCCAGTACTTAAATTTCTTTTTAACTTCTAAAACTCAAGCTATGCAAGAAGATTAGAAATTCACCATCAGACTTCAGCGTTCCCCATCCGGTGACCACGACGTCTGAGTTGGGTGGGAATGTGTAAGTGGGTTCCGGAAGGCATGCTCTTCGGATGCTGCTTGTGTAGAGCACTGGTGAGGAGAGATGCACAAGAGCGATGTCATCCTTGTGTGCCGGGTAATGGTAGTGCTCATGAACTATGATGTCCTTGATGCTTCGCTGTGTCTGTGGATCACTCAAAAGAAGTCCAAAACTAACATTCCAGTCTGTTGGTTTATTGGTGCTAAAGAAATAGATTAACTTATTAAAATCTTGTATATTGGAGTTATAGGAGTTAATTTCTTCACCTTTGTTTTTTTTTTTTTTTTGAGAGAAGAAAAGATAAACATAACAATGAAACTGAGCTTCAAAGCAGGTCAGTTACAGTAGTTGACACATTGTGTCATGTTGTCTTC